TCAGTAGCTGAGATTCAGATGACAATGGGAGGAGTGATCACCTTGAAACATTGCGGATGCCCTGGTTAGTAAAGCATCAACGAACCGACCTGAATGCCACAGGTTTGGGCAACACGTTCTCTGACGTGTTGCCCAAGTCCATTTCGTCCAGCAGTCGACCCCAAAGACGCATTGATATATTTTAACGTGCTGTTTATTCAAAATAGGAATTTTCTCAAATATAAATTATTATTTTACATTAGCATACTGTGCATATTTAGGCATTGGTTAGGTTAGGTGTTCTGTTGGTGATTATTTGTATTTGTAGTACATGGGTGAAGCATTTACAACATTGTAGTTCGAACAAAAGTCGTCAGCGATTCACGTGTTCTGGAAGTGTTTGGACGTCATCAGTTGAGAGACGTGTAACCCGTTTTTCATTCATAAAGGGATTTGGTAGGTGCATGGAATGAACTTTGGGTCTTTGTTTAGAGGATGGACTAGGTTTGGGCCAGGGAAAAGGGAGGTCTCAACTGGGGTGAAATTAGAAGTATCAGAAGCTTGCTGGAACCAGAGGTGGACCTACAGGAGTGATGGCCCAAGAAATTAGGCTGGCTAGTGGAATCTAGCAAATGTGCTTGTGGGAGGAGACCACTGACTGGTTGATCAATAAGGACAATGGTCATAGTGAGTGTTATTTCTGTACTGAAACAGTGACATTTTCAATGGAGAAATTGGAGACAAGTTACATTCTGTAGAAATTTACTTGTAAAGTGTGGTATGCAGGAGAACATTGTGAACTGTGTTGCAGTGATATGGTTCCTCAGATTTGGTAAAGGAGCATTTGAAAATTAATGGCATTCCCAGTAAAGTGACTTGTGATGAGTCGTACATACAAGCTATGGTGAAACAGTGAATGGTGGTGTGGTTAAACAATGACTTGAAGCATTGACTTTGTAGTGTCAGTACTTGAGGAAACAGTACAGTTAAATTGCCAAAAAGTAATGTGAATGATTATTACAGGTGGCTAAGGAATGGTGAACATTTTGCAGTGGTCACCAGGATGTTTCCAGTTATGTACAATGGAATAAGCATTGTGAAGACTGAATGACTACTGAGGAACATTCCATGGAGGATCAGGAGCTAAAGGAGTTTCAGCCTTGACAGATTTCCTGGTTGGTTGTGTGATCCTTTTATGATAGGATTTATTTTTAGTTGGTGACTGGAGTAGATATGAAGTATTCCTTTATTACTGGTAAGTAAATTTGGTGGTGAAGTATTCTCTCACAGTTAGTCAACAGTAGTGTGAGTTGTGGCATTTCTCATTTGTTGGTGTGAATGGGTGAAGTATTCCTCAGAAGTGAGGAGCAGGTGTAATAACATGTAGTTTGCTTTAGGGATACTGTAGACTAAGTTGTAGTGAGGGTCTGGTTCTTCTCTTCCCCTATCCTTGATAGGTTCAGTTTGCATAACCTGTCTTCATAGTTTAGTTCTGTTATTTCAAGTCTTGTTGCAAACCTCTGGACTTTATAAATTTTCTTCTCGTGCTTCACATAACATTTTTATATGCTTCCAGTGCTAGTGCTGCTGTAATGTCTTTTTCCAACTCTCTCATATTGATTCCTGTAGCTGCCTTCCAGTCTCCTTTCCTCACTCTGTCTTCATTATGTTACACTTGTTGGGAATAAATTTGAGCAGCCATTTATCTGCCCACTCCTATTGTATGTTTAGGTCCTCTTACAATAGCCTACAGTATTTTCATTAGCATTGTATTGCCTGCAAATATTGTCATGTGGGAATGCACCCTATGAGGTAAGTCAAGAACATTGTATTTCACACAGAGTTGAAGACTGAGCATTATGGAACTGCATTAGCTTTCTCTTCATTCTGCCTATGACTGTTTCCTGTTTGTCAGGTACAGTACAGAACTGATACCATGTCCAGTATCCAATGTTTTCTGCTGTATTGTATTTTTTTAAATTTGGAGGGCCTTGTAGATTGCATTAATAATAATCACATGCTTCTAGATGTGAATCTTAAGTTCCCTATTTTCCTTACTTTAAATGTATTACAGTATTACTGTACCAATTCCTTTGGCAGTGCTCATCACATGCCCTCTTGCCCACTGAATTATGTCCAGGAATGGTATAATATTCAATGGCACAGATGGTGCAGCAGTGCTAAATATTAAATTGTCTCTTGAGCTTAGCACCTTCTTTTGATAATTACTTAAACCGTCTTGTCATAGTCACTTTATCCTTGTATCTTCTGGAAAGTTATAGTTTAGTAAGCATAGTTGATTCACCTTTCTCTTTGTGTATTTGCCTGTATCCAAATGTTGCACTGTTTCAAAGTCAAAGAAATTATTTATCTTGACTCAGGAGAATTTGTGTTCAGTTTTGTCAATTAACAATGGGAAGGTATAGAAAATTCTGCCAAATTCAACAGTAACAAATAGAGACAACAAAGAGAAAAACTAAGGTTATTTCAATATTTTTGATGCTTGAACTTTGGGGGAAATAAATCTTATTGCATGTTGTCATTATTTTATTATAATTCATATTTTATTACATAATTACATTTAAATATGTTTGATTAAGTATTTTAATTTTTAAATATTTTAAAACTTTATTAAATCCATGGTTCACCCCTTTGGCTACTAAGCCTGGTCTATTGATCATAGCCGTGGAGCTTCTCTCACCTTTGTGGAATGGTGGTTGTTGGTTCCTTTACAAGTGTTGACATTATCCCTTGGTCAAAACATAATAAATAATAATATACATATAGTAATTCACGTTTACCAAACATTATTGATATGAAAATGATCTTTAGAATTAATAATCTGTTTATAGAGTATTTAGTTTATAAGTTTTAATACAATATAGTAATTAGATATTATTACTATGACAATATTTAGAATTGAGAGTATAACAAATGATGAACTACATTTATTTATCAGAGCATACGTGACAAAAGATATAATCAATAATTATCCCAAAGTCCTCCATATTTCTCACTTACTGATACATATCACAATACTCATTTATGTATCCAAATCAGAGTAAGATACCTGCTTAACAATCCTCATGCTCATGTAACAATCTACACCTCAGCTTTCCCATTGCCTCAGGGATTTTTTAGTGACACTATATCATACAGAGCATTGTTTAATTTAAGGGGAACTCCCAATAACAATGGTTCTTTTTTCTTTGAAATTCTAAAGAATTTTCCCTTTTAACGTAAAGCTATAACTGTGTATTGAATACACAACCCTACTAGTGCAATACCTTGATACAATAACAACAAAATAAAACCAACGTTGAATGTAATGAAATAGCAATTTCTGGGTGAACCTCCGTGGCTCCCTACAAATATTATCTCTGATAGTGTGCCATACTACTGGGTCCCATCAGTTGCAGAGCTGTGGCCTATTGCGGACCCAGAGTTAGAATCTGCCCCCCCCCCCTCACAGAGGTGCAGGGAGCAGTGGCATTTATATACTGTATTAAGTTACTTGTTTGTGCCACCAAGGAAGGCACCCAGAAAGGCAGCGAAACAAAACAAACCACTGCTAGCTTTAAATGAGACCACAGCCTTAAGAAACGGCTATAGAACTTCTCCGACAATGTCAACAATCAAAATTTCATGAAACTAGTGCCAACTCATTTGCCTCTTGTTTGGGGGTAGGAGTGAGGCAGTCAGGGGTCAGCCAGCTGACCTTCAATTCAACGATGTAATGGATGGATGTAATTTGAAATGAAAAATAATTGAAAATAAATTTTGTATTTTTTGTTTTCCAAAACAGCAAGTTAAGGATCTTCTGGTAGGTTAGAAGGGCAGGAAGTTCTCCTAAAATTTGAAAACGTCATGAAAAATGTTAATTGAAAGTTTCCTCTCCTAACCTATCTGAATAAGCCAGAGGACTCAAACAGAAAACGGGACAGTACATCACTTTCATGAGCCAATGTAATTTAAAATTACGTCCATTTTCGGGCAAACGAGCAAAATGCGACGCAATTTTAAGAGGACGGTTTGAAACATGCCCAAGACAAGGGCAGGTTTGGGGATATACCCTGAGTACCCCAAACCTGTGGGGAATTATGAGGGACTGAAGGTCACAATTCAGAGTACCCAGGCACTGGGACACATTGCCTAGTTAAGGTGGCTGTGAAGGCTGAGCTTGGGGCACTGAAGTGCAGCACGTGTGTAACCAGTGCACTCCACCAGCAAAGATGCTCCAACCTGGGAAAAAGACAAAACCTAAAGACAACAGACCCGAAGGTGAGGGCCACCACAAGTGAGGACCTCTAAAGGAGCATCTCCTAAACACTACGAAAGATAGCTCTGGCAATACTAAGGAACACAGGGAAGATAACCCTGAGCACATGACACTCCAAGTACTCTTAACTCCTTGCCCACTTTACACAAATGTGTAAGAAATAGCAAAGGCAATACTCGACAAAAATACACACTGGGGGACAGAGGGGGCACCTGACACATTATCATTAGAGAACTGAAGGTGGAGCAGCTGGCTGAGCCCTGGCTGCCTCTCCCCCCCCCCCCCTGAACCGAGGGGTGGGGGCAAACAAGCTGGCACTAGTTTCATTCAACTTTGATTGTTAGTTTACATTGCTGGAGAAGTTTTATAGCTAATTTCTTGAGGCTGCAGACTCATTCAAAGCTAGCAGTGGTTTGTTTTGATTCACTGACTTTTTGGTTGCCTTCCTTGGTGGTGGCATAAATAAATAACTTAATATATAAATGCCAATGCTCCCTGCACGTTTATGAGGGGGTGTAGGCCATAGCTCTGCGACTGATGGAACCTCGAAGTATTATACACTATCAGAGATAGCTTAAGGGAACCACAAAAGACTTCCCTTGGAAAAAATTTTCAATAATGCCCTAGTGCTTGAATGAATTGTATATAGTAACTTGAGAAAGGATGTAGGTTACATCCAAAAATTTGTTTTTTTTAATATACTTGCACATATATTGGGTCTTTCCTTCACCTTCAATAATTATAATAATAAAAACTAACATCTTGAACATGTAAATACAACACCCACCAAATACTTTACTATTAAAATTTGATAGACGGCCAAATAGGAACAAATCAAGATGCAGCCCATCCCATCCTTACATTGCCCTGGAGATAGTTGAAGTTCCATTTGTGCTACAGCTAGACATACAATTTTATTCTTTTGTCAAAAATTAAAAATTACATTTTATATCTTTTTAAATAGATACAAATCAAATATTATGATTGAAAATAAATACTAGTCTGTAATTCCAATAAATTGTTTGCAATTTATTAGTGTGTATCCTACTCATTGCACAGCACAATGTCCCCAACGAGTAATATACAATATATATATATATATACAGTACATGGTTAGCACCTACCTTATTGCCACATTCAAAATCAATCTTTGAAAAGATTCTGGACAACACTATTTTACATTCATTCCTTTTTTACTCTTCAATTAGAGGCATTTGATCTTCAGTCATGGTTTTGCTTCTCATGAAAGGACTCCGAGGTCTCACAATTACTTCTTCTGTATCTTCATCTCCAGTTTCCAGTTTATTATACTGATAATCCTTGCTGATGCTACCTGTCTTCTGCAGATGAAAAAGCAGAACTTAGAGAAGTTGAAAGTGTAAAACAAAATGAGATAAATTTCCATAATTATGAAAGTACTGTAGTAAATAAGATACCCCGAGAGTTACGCAACTTTTGTGTAACCTTCTTTGCATACTAGAGAAGGTCATCAGTAATTGGCCTAGAGGAACCTCGATGAGCCTAACAGGTTGCCTGTCCCAGACTATGGTAAACCAAGCCACAAAACCATACTGTGGTGTCTTTTTCACTTCGTTAAAAGACACTACAGTGTACATACACGTTTTGCCCACCACTCTAAAACTTAGCCAATTATTAATTTTCTAGCTGATCACCTGAGTTGCTACAGTGTTATTTGTTTTTATTTTCCTGGGAGAAGGCAAAGTTTGTTTATAACCATGAAACAAAATCAGGACAAACTATTTGTCAAATAATGGGGAGCATAAACACAATTATTAAGCTGGAAGGATGAACAAAATTCTTAAGCATAACCCCTCCCTCCTCAATGGCACAAAGTGCCAAAGAATTCTAGCTCCACTTAGCAATGAAAAAAAGAAATTGGTACCAGGCATACGAGGGAGGCAGGCTAGACCCTTGGGTTACCTGAGCTACCACCTGGTGTGCCCTTGGATACTAGTTCATGGTTTGTTGACATTAGGCAGTCTGAATTACCCAAAGCTTCCTAGCATTACGTTAGTAATGAATAAATATGGTATATTTACTCATTATAATGTTGGTGCTGAATGTAGAACATGGAAAAACATTTTTACTATGAAAAAGTATCATTTCATAACGAAATTAGACGAAAATAAGCTGCTGGTGATGCCAAAGCAAGTCGATGGTTCAAGCGACAATGTTGTGGAACGACTTATTTAAGATATATTGTTGCGTACCGGCTATATTAACTTAGGTTTGGATAGGTTATGTTGGTTAGGTTAGGTAGGTACAGGAGGCTGATATGCCAGCAAATACTCTTTAGGGTAACATAATTTACACTTGGAAAAAATTAGAGGCACTACTTAAGATAACTAAAAACTACACACACACACATTACTTATTATTATCAAAGATATGGCACACAAATATAAGTCAATATTTACTCACCCCAGCATTCCTCAGAGCAAGTATGTCAGCCACACTCTCCGGCATTGGTTGGCCAAGAGTCTCGGGTAACTTAAGATTAAGGACTCCAGCCACAAAAGTCATTATACCAAGAGCTGTAAACTGCAGGTTTGGTAAAATGTCTCCCAACATTAAAATCAGTGGTGCTAGCATACCACCAACCCTTGCAGCAACTGAAACGATGCCCATGCCAGAGTTTCGTATTGCAGTAGGAAAAATTTCAGCACTGAAATGATTTTATTTATTAGAACCTAATCACATACATATCAAAATTCAGAATTTATCAATACCTTAGTAAATTTTCAAATTTAATTGTACTGTATATCAAACCTAATAGAAAACAAGGATTGCACTATCATATTTCTCAAAACTATACAGTTGTAGCCTATGTCTGTATGTCTATGGAAGTGGAAACAAATATTTAGGTAGAATGTAACATAATTTCTTGCCTCAAAAAAAAATATAGAATATGCATAAACATTATTCTACTTAGATAAAAAATATACACAGTAATGTCATGTGATATTTACCTATGAATATAGCACACAGAGAAACTAGCAGAGATGCTCAGTTTACCACAAAGGGCTAACAATGTTTTTACATTGGAAAACGACGTAGGTAAAAACTGAATGCACAAACAAGCTGACCCGCCAATCATCATAAACCCACACAGAGTCAGTCGTCGACCAATTCTGAAACGTTAAGACAAAATTTATAATGCAATTGACAAAATATAAAGTTGAGGAAACAAGACAAATTGATTTTGAGTGAAAGAGCTTAATATCAAATTGAATTTAACTACAGTACCGTAGATGTAGTTCGACCACAAGAAGGCAATCGAGAAAGATATCCTTAGTCGTCTGTATCAGACTATCAATATTGAGAACATTTAAAAAATACAGTACTGTACCATTACTAGTCTATGAAAAATATAAAAATAACATTATTAAAACTACCAAAATAAAGCCATTGACAATAAACAATTTACACACATTATGTGGCATATTATGGAAAACTTGCATGTTAATTAAGCAAAACATTTTTTTGATAACTAAGGAATTCATATAAACAGCTGTGGGATTAGGCAAGAGGAGGGAGAGAGACAGTCAGAAACGATACAGAAATAGTGTGGTATAGAGCCAAGATACTGTATACAGTACAGTATAGTATAGACAAATAGGGTGGTACACAGCTAGAATATACAGACAAGTATAGTGGTAAACAGCAGGAATAAACACTAGAAGGGTAAATGCCTAAAAAGACTGTTATAAAACTACAAAATATATAAATAATAAAAAGATGCCATAAGCATAGCTCTCTTCTTTTAAATACAATTAGGTAATTATTATGTACATGCATGAACTAGACTCGTACAGATGACTAGAGTACACACACAACTAGACGAGTATACACAACTAGGTGAGTATACACAACTAGGTGAGTATACACAACTAGGTGAGTATACACACAACTAGATGAGTACTTGTTGAGAGGTGGGATGAAAGAACCGAAGCTCAACCCCTACAAGCACAACTAGGTGAGTACACACAAAACAAGATAAGTTCACACACAAGTAGGTGAGTTCACACACAAGTAGGTGAGTGTACACAACTTGAGTTCACACACAACTAGACAAGTACAGGTGCAAAGGCATGCAACTGATGGCTTCTGGAACTGAAAGACAAGAGCTGAGCTGCAAAGAGAGGAAAGAGGCATTAAATATGCAAAAGCTAGAAGATAGAAGAAGAGGTGCCGCTATCATCACTACATACAAAATAGTAATGGGAATCATCAAAATTAATAAAGAAAACTTTCCTGAAACCTCAAACTTCAAGAACAAGAGGTCACATATTTAAGCTAATGAAACAAAGCTGCCCCAAAAATATTAGAAAATTCACTTTTGCACAAAAAACATAGTAAAAAGAGTGGTAGAGGGTTGGAACAGGTAAAGTGGGAAGGTGGTGGAGGCCAAAAGTGTTATATGACAGCGCTGGGAAGACGGGACACCAAGAGCGTAGATCTCATCTTTTAACTACTCTTAGGTAATTACACACACTTGCACACACTGATTAAAGTGCATTCTTAAGCAAACAAATTATACTATATAAGTACAATATATTAAATGACAATAACAAAAGGGTGCTAAATGGGCATTAAATTTATTATGAATTTTAAAGCAAACTAAATTTGCTGTGAATAGAGGAAGAGTTAGATACTAATTAGGTATCATCTCATATTCATAATGACCTTATCATGAAGTCGATGACTATTCTTGCCTCGGAAACAATAATTCACAGAAGAAAGTTGTCTTTCTGCAGTAAAAGTGTGAATCATCCATTTAGCTCAACAAATACTAATAACAGAGTTGGTAACTCTGAGGAACGGTCACTGTGTGTAACTTTGAGGAATAGTTTCCACGTGTGATATTGTAATACCAATGAGATATATATGCCTCCATTCACATAACATTCATGGTAATATGACAATAATATAGTACATATACACTCTGCTCTTATGTGTCACTAGTTTTGCAACCATTATTATCTTTTCCATAAATTCAGTCCAGTATTACTTAATGATATCACGATTCCTTTTCATTTATGAACCGTATCATGTTCAAAGGGTGTTCCAGTGTTGTGATACACAGTACAAAGCAGAATTACAAAATTGGTAATGTTGGTGACAATAATGCAAGCTTCGCAATTCTTAGCTTAGAGCCAGTCCCATAAATATGTTAATAATAATAATAATATAGGTTGTTGTGCTCCTAATAATGTAATTTTATTACCACGGCTTTGTCATTTATATTCAATATTATTAATATGTGTAATTATTAGCAACCTGCATAATATATGATTGTAATTATTAATGCATAAATGTTTTATTATAAAAATTATATCATATGATATAATAATTAACTGTACTCCTGTTACTTAAGAGTGTCTCAAGTAAATGCCATTTGTTTACATAGTATCACTGTTCTAGAGAAGAGTCTTAAAAAATTAACCTAAGAGATAAATAAGATCTAAAATCATGATTTATTCTCACCAAAAAATATCCTTACTTTACTGCTATTTAGACTGTAGAATTAACAATGTTTGAAAACACAGTAACACGAGAGTTGTTATCTGTACAAACTTGAACTACCTTATTTTGATATATATTGTACTGTAAAAGGAGAGTTGTCATCTTTACATACCTGAAGTACCCTGTTTAGTTAAGATAGGAACTTGTCTTCAGTACATATTTGTAAGAAAATTTGTATTCTTTATATAAAAATTAAACTAATCCATGTAATATAAAAAGAGTTACATCAGGAACAACAAAAAATAGACTCCAATACTTTTACCTTACTTTCACTAGCTTTTATATTAATTCCTCTAAGGCTTATCTTAATTTTCCTACTTTTACTTTACTTTCTCCAGTTCTTAACCTTCCTTTCTCCTACTCCTATCTTACTTTTCTTACAGAATTAGAAAATATCCTTGCATGCTATAGAAGGTAACTCTGAGGGAGCTTGGTGATACAGTACATAGCAGTAATGACCAAGTACCTGTCAATGATAGCAATAGCAACAACACATGCTGGGATCTCAATAAGGCCACTCAAAGCTGTTGACACATAAGCATCACCTCCTAGGTTACTAGCCGCTATGGTAAGGCCATAGTATGTTGCACTGTTGACGAACCTGCAGGTAGAGAAAACTGGTGTTGAGTGTGTTAGCAAGCATCTGTCTACACGTAAGAAAGAAAAGCAAATATATATTGATAAACAAGATAAATCTAAAGCAAATACTAAGAAAAATTTACTTTTTGTATTTTTTATATTACAAAAATTTACATTCACTGTACAGTACAGTACATATAAAATCTGTTTAACAGCATAAAAGAAATACTGTAATTAGTTTCTAATTACATTCAATGATGATGCAATGCAAAAATACACACAGTATACAGTATAGTATATGACGATTATCCAGAGAACATTTTCCAATAAAAAAAAAAGCCTTACCATGAGTATATCTGAATAAGTGTAAGGAGGAGCACATAAGGATGGCTAACCAAAATGCCGACTCCCTGTGGCTTCTTGTCATTCTCATCTTTGTTGTTTCCAGTGATGGAAATCTCCCAGTTAGTTGGAAGACTGCCAAGTTTACCATTCCTCCTGGCCATCCCTTCCAAGATATCTTTTGCTTCATCATTCCTGCCCTGGGAGGCAAGCCACCGTGGGCTTTCTGGAATGTAGCTTGAAACACACACATCAGATTCAAACTTATTAATTTAAATAAAGCTTTGTTTAAATAGCTATCTCTTAATCCAAGATTTCTTATGCCATATACTGTACTGTAAATGTAAATAAAGTTTATACTTACCATGGAAGAATTAAGAACATTATTCCCGAGACGGAGCAAACAAATGTTAGAGTTCGCCACGTGTCCATCACCGATGCAATGGCTGCGAACACCCCTATTCCAACAGCAAAAAACATAGCTACAAAGATGCCACAAAAGCTCCTCCAATCCATGCCAACTAACTCTTGTGAGAGGACGAAGCTCACAAGGATTACCAACGAACAGCATATTCCTCCCAGGTAACTGAAAGTTGTATGTAAATGTAATTTTTGTCACTATACATAGTACAGTATATCATACTTTATTTCCTAATCAAACTATCAGTTTAATTAAATAACATAGCATAATATAATACATGATCAAAATATTGATTAGAAATCTCAAGATCTCTTAATGTCTCACTATTTATGAACAAAGCCTTGAGAAAATTAATATGTACCGTAATACTACCATGACCATGAATGTTGGAGCAAAGGCACTAAAGCCCTCGAATGCTATGGTTCCCAGGAGCGCAATCATTAGTGTTTTCAATCGTCCTATTACATCAGCTACACCACCAAGCAAGAGGGCCCCCGTCATTACTCCTCCCATCCATACTGACTGCACCAAAGCCACTTTATACTTTTCACTGCATATTAAGTTCCACTGCAGGGATAACAAAGGTTTTGTTAAGATAAGGGAAAACAATCTCAGAATGTTATTTATCAAAGATGAACACTGACATCAATATAGCAAGTATATAATTGCTTATATCTTCAACACAACCTGTTAGACTAATTCATGACAGCCTTGGCATAGTTCCATATATCCTACCTTCCACTACCATTTACCAACATGCCATCTAACTTACTAGCATCCTTAATTTGCTAAAGCATTATGCTGGTCATTTTCAATATTCCCATATACAGTACTGTATTGTTTAAACAAAGATACTTAAAACCTCTGACAAGGGAAAATGTCTAGGAGTTGTTCTGGATAGTAAGCTGTCACCAGAGGATTACATAAAGGGCACGATGAGAGAAACCTATGATATGCTAGCAAATTTCAGAACCACATTTAAATATGTGGATTGATAAATATTAAAGAAAATGTTCATGACATTTGTGAGACTAAAATTGGCCTATGCTCCAGTGGTTTGGTGTTCATATCTCAAGAAACACACAAATAAACTAGAAAATGTACAGAGTAATGCTAATAAATGGCTTCTGGAACTTAAGAACATGAGCTATGAGCAGAGGTTGGAGTCAATAAACATGCCAAGGCTGGAAGATAAGAGGAAAAGAGGTGCTATGATTACTACATACAAAATAGTAACAGGAATCAACAAAATAGACAAATTTTTTAAACTGGTAACTTCAAGAATAAGGGGCCATCAATTCAAGCTAAAAAAGCAAAGGATCCAAAAAATATATAATAATTAATAATAATTCAATTTGTTGGGGTCAGGCAGCCTGTGTATATACTGTATATACTTTAGGCTTATATTGTGGTCTTCCCCAAGGTCAAACTACTGACCTTCCCCAGGATGCAACTCCACAAGAGTTGACTAACTCCCGAGCGCCTATTTACTGGAAGGTGAACAGAGGCATTAAGTGAAATGGAACATGTCCAACCATTATCGTTCTGCCCAGGATTTCAATCCAAGATTTCCCATTGTAAGTTGAGAATGAACTCAACTGTACTACAGTACTATGATTAAAAATGAACATTGTATTTTGCAAACAAATTTGTAGAAGGTTGGAACAATTTAAGTGAGAAGATGGTGGATACCAAAATCATTACTAGTTTCATTGTATTATGTGACAAAGATTATAGGGAAGATGTGACTAGATGAGCATAGCTCTCATCCTGTAACTACACTTAGATAATTACACACACACATACACAAAATGTATAAAGACATACACACACCCCTGCAAGTACAACTAGGTGAGTACACTTACTAATATACATGAACATATATTGCACAAATGCACACAGCTGGCTCCAGGCTGTGTGCCTGGAGCCAGCTGTGTGCCTGGAGCCAATCTTAACGTAACATATGAAGTGAACATATGCTATCTATATAACAAATGTTCACTTGTGTTTGTGCACAGTCCATATACTGCACAAGCACATGCAATATATGGACTGTGCGTACACACACAAAACAACGGCTTTGAAAAAAATAATTCTAAAAATTAATTCAGAAACCTGACTAACCTCGGATGCAAAAGATTTGTACTCTGTCGTATAGGTAATTGTACAGTTTTGTGGACTGTCGTCAAAACATTGATTGATGAGTGGTTCACTTTTGGGCTCTCCATCTTTGGCATAGCACTTGAATGTTGGGTCCAAACCTAGTGCAAGGGTTGAAGAAAAATATGGAATATTTCTGAAATCATCTCAAATTATTATTTGTTAGATATACAAAATATAAAAGAACGTAAATTGAAATGATAATTATGACAATTATTTAACAAGCTATATGAAGTAAAAGCTTCAAAAAGTTTGCACAGGTGCAGAGATGTGGCACTTTCATCAGTGAAGTCAACAACACTTTACTTGGAAAACAGGAATGTTTAACAAGAGAACAAGTACTGTAGTGCAGAATATTTCATGAGTAATTTTTCCAGACCTTTCCATTATGAATTATACACTAGGATGAATATTTCTAATTCACAACCTTCTCCATGCACTGAGAAGCTGATCTAAACCATGATCTTGGAGACTAGAACATACTCATTCAACTCAACTACATTGACAATTCAACAAACTTTTTTCCTGTCTTTCAATTTCCTTCCTTGATCTATTATGTAATTGTATACAAAAATCTCAACAACTGGCAAACTCAGCCAAACTTTGCCAAACTTAGATAGAAATCTGAGTTACCGAGAGTTTTGGCCGGGTTACTAAATAATACCAAGAGACCTATGCTTACCAGAAGCAGCCTTAGCAGCTGGCAGACAATATTAATCTTGCCAATATACCCTCACCATGTAAATTTATATTTATTGTATGTGGAAATACGAATTATGTTGGTTGTGGTACAAAAAAATGGTGAATACTGTATGTTAATTTTTGGACCTTCCTGGTAAGAATTCCTCCTAATCTGGATGTCCGGCTAACTCAGAGAAGTGTGAGCCACACATGATCCGGATTAGTGAGTGTTATCAGTATAAAGAATAAAATCATACATAACTTATGCATTTTAAATATACTGAAAGATAAAGCAGAGGGAGAATGATAATTGTTTAAATTTGATCTTTATCTTAATAAGAAGCAACCAAGTGAGCTCTTCAAAAAGCAACTTTTCATATAATGAAGAAAGTTTTATTTTTCACAAAAACATCTATAGATTTTGAAGATAAAAGGCAAATCCTTTAGAGATGGAATATGTGGTATTTAAGGAGTCACAGATCAGCAAGGTAAAGTTTCCAGTTTATAATATTCAAAACTAAATAGCTTTCATTCTAAATCGGTAAGATTATGATCATTTGTCCTATGTTTCTATGAATCACAATGAAACTAATACATCTTAGATCTTCCAGCTTACTTAGTTCAGCTAACATCTCTGACAATAATTCTTTACAAACACTAATCTATACAGAATTTAAAGCCACAATGCACCTACACACATACTACTCAATATCAATATGCAAACTTCTTTCTATAAGTTAAAAGCTTTCTTTTATTATATGCATGTACAGAAGTTCTGAGTGAAGCAATACCACATGCAATCTATCAGTGTTTGCAATGAGAAGTAAATCCAAAAGTAAGGTCAATGCTCACAACTTACCAAAGTATTTTTTGTAATAGTTTGTGATAATGAGCTACCTTCAATAAGTAATGAGGAAGGGACAATACAATATTATTAAGTCTGTTAAATAACTGCTACAACCAGTACATACTCCAGTTCCCATATATACTTCTGTGCCCTGATATACTTCAGTGCCCTCATATACTTAAGTGCCCATACATACTTCAGTACTCACACCTCTGTACCCACACATACTTCAGTGCCAATACATACCTCAGTACCCATACATGCTTCAGTGCCAATACATACCTCTTTAACCACACAAACTGCAGTGCCCACAATTTTGACATCAAAACAGCACAGGTATAACATTTTGGCCTATCTTTATAGACTAGACAACTAAAGGCAGAGTTAAACATAGGTAAGCACCATAAAATATAGTAGCTGAACTAATGTACACATCAAAAGCTTCCGTTGCTGTGGCAGCATCAAAGCAACAAAAAATAAGATGTGAAGTAATTACCCAGAGATGAAGTAGATGTCTACAAGTGGCCACAAATGTAAAGTGCATTAAACCTTAAACTAGAAGAATTTAAACAACAGTATGTGTACATTTTGCAATTTCCTCCACCATCATTTATTAAAATGACAAATTATTAGCCTGCTAAAATTTATAATGCAAATAAGATTACCAAGCCACCAACAGTTATATCTACCACTAAACAATCATACCTACCAGTAAAGACATTGAGAAGCATGTGAAACACTAAGAAGAACTGCAGGATACTGATGCCAATATAGAATTGTCTTTGACTCCTGCCAAATTGTCCAATAATATTCAAAACATCATCCACAGAGAGGGATTCCATGGTTGGAGAAAGTTTGTATCAACACACCAAAAGCCTCAAATTACACATCCCTTGCTATAATTGGACAAAAATTAAAGATCTCATTAAAGATTTTTATAATCAACAATTAAAGAATAAAAACATACAAATTGAAGGAAACTTTCACTCTTCACAGTGGCACATTGACAGTTGTGAGGCAGGACCCAAGAGCCAGAGCTCAACCCAGCAAAACTAGGTGAATACATTGATAACATATTTCGTTATATACTATTAATCAGTTTTTTCCTACATTGAAAACAATATGTTCAGAAGTTAAAATGTTTGTCAAAGGTACTAGCTACTCTAACAATTTTCAAATTTCAGCAGTGAAAAACCATTAGCAGTAAAGATAATATTTTACTGAATATCCTGGAATACCAATTCTAACATATGTAAGTAAAGCAGTTAGCATTTGCTTGCACCTCCCCCGGTATTTGTGCCACTGATCAGGCCAGAAAGGCCCAGTTGCTTTTTTAGGTCTGCTCTTTTGTCGATGGTTCTCTCTTTTGTGTCTATACCGATATTGTTCTAAGCGATAATTACGATGGCATTCACTAACAAGAAGGTAAATAGATGTAGTGAGTGTTATGTTTGCAAGTAACAAATGCACCATATTTACAGATAAAAAATTTTCACACAGCATTCTTTAGTGAACTTGAAATTTTGAATAAATGCATGCATTCAGATTAAACAACAATATACACTATACAAAGTTATAAAAATCATTCTGCAAGGCATGCAATTAGATGCTAAGCAAAGAAACTAAACACATTACTGTATTTTATTTACAGAACTGCACTACACTTATGTACTGAAATGCAAAGAAAATTAATAAGAGATTTACATTGCAATAAAAATTAAAAAATTAAACTATATACAGTATATTGTTTTTTGTATCTATCAGATTAATGAGACTCATCCAGTATAAGAACAACCAAAAGCAAGGAGCATCTTTATGGTCTGCCAATTGCTTAACCATAAGGATTATGTGCAGCTCTGTTGGATGGTGTGTGCCACCTTAGGAGACGTCATTATGAGGCTCCATCCTAAACTTCTATTCCTTGCTAAAAGTGAAATTACAGGTGATATTTCATTTCAGAGTGGTCCCATTCTTATCAAGGCATGATAGCCTTCCTTGATGTATCATCACACAGTATGTTCATTAACTTAAGTTTTGTGTGCAGTAAAATTTAGTCAGCCTAATGTTTACCCTTGGTCTCATGATTTGAGTGAGCTCATCGGTAGCAAGGCTTTTTTTTTTTAACAATGATTTACTCAAAGATCTGATCAAGGGTCAAGGATCTGATTTATTCCTCTTATAAAGTAGTCATTGAGAGGTATTTGGCCAAGATTCCCTGCCTTCACCACTAGTGTGTGACAATAAATTGTCTATATACATGATGTGTGACGGTAAGTTTTCCATCTACATATGACGACTTCAGGTGGTAGTGGCTCTAGCACCTTTGCTCCCCAGCATCTCTTTCTTTTGCGCAGATGTTATTTACACCCAGCTTTCTTAAGCACTGCTATGCATCAAAGGTTTATACATTCCTTCTTAGTTTTATTTGGTGAATTTTCTTCTTGGTTATCTGGCATCTGTTACTGGGACTTACATTAGGTAAGCAGCAACCATACCCTAGAGCTGGTGCATACACAGTGTCAATTGAGGTGACTGGCAGTTTTGTATAACTTCAACATGGTGGATACAAAGAGATAACAGCAGTCAGTTGCATTACTTTACACCACATCAGAAATTATGGAAAAAAAGTTTTGTAAAACACAAACAGAACAAATTTCACATATATTTTTAACCTCAAATAAAAAATATACAGGTACAGTATATCAAATGTGACATCCATAAAGACAGTAATTTTTCATAACAAAATTAAAAGATTATAAGTAATTATTCAAACTTATTAATAATTTATTTTTAAGATAGTGCCAGAATAACATACTAAATGAACTCATATTTTTGTCAGGCATTTTGTCAGTTTAAAGCACGTTAAGTGTAATTTATTAACAAATAAATCAAAACAAGTTATACGTCAAGCTGCTTAAAATATCAATTAACTTTAATGATAGAAAACAATGAATGAAACTTTGTGCAAAGCAAAGCAAATTAATTAATAATACTAATATGATAATGTTCAGAAATACACCTTGCGATACCAAAGCTCTTCACTACACTAGAAAATTTTAAATATTGATATAACCATGATGCTTTGCCTCATTATAGTAACACTAATACAGTATATGCAGAAATATACAGGCAGGCAAAAATACTAAACAAATATAGAAATGAATTAGCATGATACACAAAATCCTTCCATAAACTGTTAAGTGTACATGGTAAGAACAAGCACTACAACATACCAACAAACACAGTTAGTAACTGGTGAAAAGCACACCACCCATGAAGAACACATAGCAGGGCAAAATACACCTTCTGGGAAGAGCCGAAGTGTCCAATTTTGTCATATACATCATCAATTGTTAACTGATGTCTCCATGAACTTCTGGACATGTTATAAGCTGAAAGGTACCTGAAAAAATACAAACAATGATAAATAGGAGCTCTGAATAAAAAAACTGATAACCATAAAAAAGTTATCCTATTCTTCTAACTTTGACATTTATTATATAAATAAAAATTTTATACTCCATTTGTATCAATAATGATACCTGTTAACTAATAAACTGATAATCAAATCTTAATTAACACAGGCTAATGGCATATCATAACTGGGAAAATTGACCAAAATTGACCAGCTACTCTGATATTATGTAAACAAGATAACAGAAAAATCTGTCAGATTATCCTACCCACACAAATTTTAAAGCTGAATTATTGTGGGAAATTTGCCCACCACATCTTAGTGCAATATTCAGTGTGAAAGAGATGTCACAATATGATTCAATATGACACAGATGATGCGACGAAACTCATTTTCTGTTTGTTAAAACCATATACCGTACGGTATATTGTTATGCTAGACTATTAACTTTGGTTAGGCTGTATTGGGCTCGGCTGGGTTGGGTTGGGTTGAGCTAGGTTAGGTAGGCTTCAAAATCCATTGGCAACTAATCTTGTGCACGATGTATATGTATGTTCCCCAACAACCAGCACAGAGAACATTTTGAACTAGAGGAAAAAGTCTTTATTTCCCATAAAAAAAGGCAATAAAGGTAGAATTAACTCTAAATAACTGAGGCAGCGTGCAAGCACTGTAAGAGGGAGAGAAGAGGCTGGAGGACGATACGTCAAGCCTTGAGACACACGAAATAAGACTATAGAAATAAATAATACATTACAGTAGTTGCCAGAACCAACCCGACTTGTCAGAGTGGCAGGTTCATTAACCAAGAGGCAAGCATCCCATATGGCTACTGCCTCTCACTACTTTCACGATGCGGCCCAGCAGCTGCTGTCCACCATCTCTCGCCCATTCACTCACTCACTGACAGCTGTTATTATAGTTGCATCGTGACACTCACTCAACCACCAGCTGCTATCATCCCGGCACTCACTCAACCACCAGCTGCTATCATCCCCAGATCACTATCATGTCAACAGTCAGGGTTGCCAGCTCAAAATTGCTAAAAGTAGCGAGCTGACGGTCTAAAAGTAGCGAATTTGTAATAAGAGTAGCCCAATTTTTTGTTTATTTATATATATATGTTTATATATATATATATATATATATATATATATATATATATATATATATATATATATATATATATATATATATATGTCGTACCTAGTAGCCAGAACTCACTTCTCAGCCTACTATTCAAGGCCCGATTTGCCTAATAAGCCAAGTTTTCCTGAATTAATATATTAAATCGGGCCTTGCATAGTAGGCTGAGAAGTGAGTTCTGGCTACTAGGTACGACATATATATATATATATATATATATATATATATATATATATATATATATATATATATATATATATATATATATATATGTCGTACCTAATAGCCAGAACGCACTTCTCAGCCTACTATTCAAGGCCCGATTTGCCCAATAAGCCAAGTTTTCATGAATTAATGTTTTTTCGTCTACCTAACCTACCTAACCTAACCTAACCTAGCTTTTTTTGGCTACCTAACCTAACCTTACCTATATATATAGGTTAGGTTAGGTTAGGTAGGGTTGGTTAGGTTCGGTCATATATCTACGTTAATTTTAACTCCAATAAAAAAAAATTGACCTCATACATAGAGAAAAGGGTTGCTTTATCATTTCATAAGAAAAAAATTATAGTAAATATATTAATTCAGGAAAACTTGGCTTATTAGGCAAATCGGGCCTTGAATAGTAGGCTGAGAAGTGAGTTCTGGCTACTAGGTACGACATATATATATATATATATATATAATGTACCTAGTAGCCAGAATTAACGCACTTCTCGGCCTACTATGCAAGGCCCGATTGGCCTAATAGGCCGAGTGATTTTCTTTATTTTCAATAAATTGTTTCCAGTTAGTTTATTTGAATTATTATTATTATATTATATTACGAACATAATTTATTGACTTAGTTGTGTTAGTTTAGGTTAGGTTAAGGCACGTTAGGTTAGGTTAGGTAGGGTTGGTTAGTTTCGGTCATATATCTACGTTAGTTTCAACTCAAATTTAAACAAACTAACCCATACATAATGAAATGGACAGATTTATCATTTCATAACAAAAATGAAAAATATATAAATTCAGGAAAACTTGGCCTATTAGGCAAATCGGGTCTTGCATAGTAGGCCGAGTACGACGTTCTGGCTACTAGGTACAATTTATATATATATATATATATATATATATATATATATATATATATATATATATATATATATATATATATATATATATATTTTTAATATATCGGAAATTTTTGTGGATCCTCAAACCTAAAAGGGGTACCACCTCTGGTGCAAGTGTAGGGACCCACAGCCTCGGAGAAGACAATAAAGAGTACCTAGAGAAGACCTTGTGGATCCTCACTGAACACTTTGATATTTTCTTCTCCTACCTCCCCTATTCTTTTAGTATGTGTGTATATATATCTAACTTTATTTTAAAATTTCATTACACTAAGAGGGTAACGCACAACCAGAAGTCTTAAGTGACACCCCCGGAGCCCGACCAGTTGTGTAACCGGACCCCGACCAGTTGTGTAACCGAACCCTGACCAGTTGTGTAACCAGACCCCAACTAGTTTTGTTACTGCAAGCCTAGCAAGCAAACATCTCATCCAACCCACACAAAGCCAAACAAACAGCCCTAAAGCCCAACCAAACTCCCTCCCTAGCTCTACCAAACAAACCCTTCCTTAGCCCTACCTAAACCCCCCCCCCCTGTCTTGCCTTAACAATTAACTTTGGAGCCAAAGTAAACAAACAATTGAGCCCTATACAAATAAAGAAACCTGGAACTTCTGTAAAAGTACAACAATGAAGCCCTAGGAAATAAACATGGACTTAGTCATAGTAAAGAAACAACCATGATTATCTAGCAAAGACACATGAGGCACTAGCACACAACCCCTGGAGCACAACTATGCACAAACCGAAGCCTGATCATGCACAACCCGAGGCCCAAGTGACACCCCCGGAGCCCGACCAGTTAAGTAACCGGAACCCGACCAGTTAATTAAGTAACCGGAGCCCGACCAGTTATTAACCGGAGCCCGACCAGTTGTGTAACAAGAGCCCGACCAGTTGTGTAACCAGAGCCCGACCAGTTGTGTAACCAGAGCCCGACCAGTGTGTAACCGAAACCCCACCAGTTGTGTAACCGGACCCCGACCTGTTGTGTAAACACAAGCCTAGCATGAACCAAACAAACAACATTAAACAAACAACATCTGAAGCACAACTATGCACGAACCGAAGCCCAACCATGCACAACCTGAAGCCAGAGTGACACCCCCGGAACCCGACCAGTTATGTAACCGGAGCCCGACTAGTTGTGTAACCAGAACCCGACCAGTGTGTAACCGAAACCCCACCAGTTGTGAAACCGGAACCCGACCAGTTGTGAAACCACAAGCCTAGCATGAATGAACCAAACAAACAATTCAAAACAAACATTAAAGAAACAACATCTGAAGCACAACTATGCACGAACCGAAGCACAACCATGCACAACCTGAAGCCAGAGTGACACCCCCGGAACCCGACCAGTTATGTAACCGTAGCCCGACCAGTTGTATAACCGGACCCCAACCAGTTGTGTTACTGCAAGCCTAGCAAGCAAACATCTCATCCAACACACACAAAGCCAAACAAACAGCCCCAAAGCCCAACCAAACTCCCTCCCTAGCTCTACCAAACAAACCCTTCCTTAACCCTACATAACAACCCCCCCCCTGTCTTGCCTTAACAACTAACTTTGGAGCCAAAGCAAACAAACAATTGAGCCCTATACAAAAAAGAAGCCTGGAACTCTTACAAAAATACAACAATGAAGCCCTAAGAAATAAACATGCACTTAATCATAGTAAAGTAACGACCATGATTATCTAGCAAAGACACATGAGGCACTAGCACACAACCCCTGGAGCACAACTATGCACAAACCGAAGCCTGATCATGCACAACCCGAGGCCCAAGTGACACCCCCGGAGCCCGACCAGTTAAGTAACCGGAGCCCGACCAGTTAATTAAGTAACCGGAGCCCGACCAGTTATTAACCGGAGCCCGACCAGTTGTGTAACAAGAGCCCGACCAGTTGTGTAACCGGACCTCGACCAGTTGTGTAACCGCAAGCCTATCAGGAACGGACCAAACAAACAACCTCTGGATCACAACCAAGCACGAACCGAAGCCCGACCATGCACAACCTGAATCCCAAGTGACACCCCCAGAGCCCGACCAGTTATGTAACTGGACCCCGACCAGTTGTGTAACCGCAAGCCTATCATGAACGGACCAAACAAACAACCTCTAGATCACAACCAAGCACGAACCGAAGCCCGACCATGCACAACCCGAAGCCCAAGTGATGACACCCCCAGAGTCCGACCAGCTGTGTAACCGAAGCCCGACCAGTTGTGTAACCGGACCCCAACTAGTTGTGTTACTGCAAGCCTAGCAAGCAAACATCTCATCCAACCCACACAAAGCCAAACAAACAGCCCCAAAGCCCAACCAAACTCCCTCCCTAGCTCTACCAAACAAACCCTTCCTTAGCCCTACCTAACCCCCCCCCCTGTCTTGCCTTAACAATTAACTTTGGAGCCAAAGTAAACAAACAATTGAGCCCTATACAAATAAAGAAACCTGGAACTTCTGTAAAAATACAACAATGAAGCCCTAGGAAATAAACATGGACTTAGACATAGTAAAGAAACAACCATGATTATCTAGCAAAGACACATGAGGCACTAGCACACAACCCCTGGAGCACAACTATGCACAAACCGAAGCCTGATCATGCACAACCCGAGGCCCAAGTGACACCCCCGGAGCCCGACCAGTTAAGTAACCGGAGCCCGACCAGTTAATTAAGTAACCGGAGCCCGACCAGTTATTAACCGGAGCCCGACCAGTTGTGTAACAAGAGCCCGACCAGTTGTGTAACCAGAGCCCGACCAGTTGTGTAACCAGAGCCCGACCAGTGTGTAACCGAAACCCCACCAGTTGTGTAACCGGACCCCGACCTGTTGTGTAAACACAAGCCTAGCATGAACCAAACAAACAACATTAAACAAACAACATCTGAAGCACAACTATGCACGAACCGAAGCCCAACCATGCACAACCTGAAGCCAGAGTGACACCCCCGGAACCCGACCAGTTATGTAACCGGAGCCCGACTAGTTGTGTAACCAGAACCCGACCAGTGTGTAACCGAAACCCCACCAGTTGTGAAACCGGAACCCGACCAGTTGTGAAACCACAAGCCTAGCATGAATGAACCAAACAAACAATTCAAAAACATTAAAGAAACAACATCTGAAGCACAACTATGCACGAACCGAAGCACAACCATGCACAACCTGAAGCCATAGTGACACCCCCGGAACCCGACCAGTTATGTAACCGTAGCCCGACCAGTTGTATAACCGGACCCCAACCAGTTGTGTTACTGCAAGCCTAGCAAGCAAACATCTCATCCAACCCACACAAAGCCAAACAAACAGCCCCAAAGCCCAACCAAACTCCCTCCCTAGCTCTACCAAACAAACCCTTCCTTAGCCCTACCTAACCCCCCCCCCCCACTGTCTTGCCTTAACAATTAACTTTGGAGCCAAAGTAAACAAACAATTGAGCCTTATACAAATAAAGAAACCTGGAACTTCTGTAAAAATTCAACAATGAAGCCCTAGGAAATAAACATGGACTTAGTCATAGTAAAGAAACAACCATGATTATCTAGCAAAGACACATGAGGCACTAGCACACAACCCCTGGAGCACAACTATGCACAAACCGAAGCCTGATCATGCACAACCCGAGGCCCAAGTGACACCCCCCGGAGCCCGACCAGTTAAGTAACCGGAGCCCGACCAGTTAATTAAGTAACCGGAGCCCGACCAGTTATTAACCGGAGCCCG